TATCTTTTTTCCCCCATCACTCCTCTTTTAGAGATATAATTTAAAGTTATGTTAATGAGTAATGTGCAATAGTGAGAAAAAGACCTAGGTCCATACCTCTCACAAATTTAAAAAAAACATAAATGCATGTTGGGAATCTTGTTCTTTCAAGTGAATTATAGCATCCTCAGACCTCCAAATTTAGCACTGAACTCTCACCACAGTTTTAGGTGTCTTTTTTTTGTTGTTTTTGACTTAACTCAGACAAACACAAGGCAGAAATATCAGGCAAATTAAAATGCATACATTTAAAAAATCAGAACAAGATACTGCAATACACACAGACTGCATCATCAACTGTTGGCTGACAAAATGCTTTGCACGGGATTATTTTTCTTTGAAACAATGTTATTTATGCCAGAGAAACTTCTGTGACCTGGTGCTGCCACATTGCTAGAACACACTTTGAAATCACAGATTCCTTTAGGGGGCACCTGTTCTACCTGTAGCAGTAATTTATTCCAGGAATTAGCGTTTCTTTTCTGAGATGGAAGTATCACAGAAGGTACTTAGCTCTCTTTAAGGGAAAATCAGATTTGTTACGATTTATGCTGTGTTGAGCTAAAGAAATCAAGAACTATTTGTAAGGGATTATGTTGCCTTGCATACAGCAGCTTGTATTCCTTAAAAGCAAAAAAAAAGCTGATGAGTGACCTGTCTCAGCAAGATATATTAAAACCAGGTCTCAGGTTATATTTTAACTACAAATAGCTACACGGGGTTGCAAGTGAGAATGGAGTATGTAGTTGCATGTATTGAGAACACCGCAATAAAGATGAGGTGTTCTATAAAGCAGTACTGAAGATACCAAATCTTCCCTGGGACAGCAAGGAAACAGGGGTCTGGGTCTGAAGTTCAGAGCCCAAAGGGACTGCTAGTTTCACATGAAGTCTACAGAGCTAGAAAGCATGACAGCATAGTGTTTGCACACTTCCCATTTTTACCAATGGAAGTCCTAAAGCAACAGCAAAGCAAATCAAGAAACACCAAGTTAAAGAACTCAGGAAGTTTTGGTCTTCCCATTCCCTTTGTATATGTCAAGCTTACAGCTTACTTCAGCCTACTGCTGAAGGTAGGAAGTTGAACTAAGAGCAAACTACTCCTACAGCAACTCTTATTTTGTGTCATCAGAATACTCTGAAAACACTGTTAAGTTCAGGCTCACAATACTTCTGTCAAATGCTAAATATTCTTATATTCCACATGGGAAGATTCATTAAGAGAACTATATCCCAGAGATAGGCAAGAAACCCACAATAAAACTGGAAACAGAAAGCAAGTCTTTAACCAACAGATTGCATATCACTTACGTTGCAGAGGATGCTTTGTACTGGACATAAGTGTCAGGGTTTTGGTAGCAACAGGACATGGAGGTGACTTGTTGTGGTGGGAGGCCATGAATTACCTTGTGCCAGTCACAGCTACTTTCAGCTGTCCCTGAAACTGCTGTAAATAATCCACCATGTGCCAAAACTTCCACCAGTCAGAGAGGCACATGGTGCCTCTGCTCACAGATACTTAAGAAAGCAGCGGCTGCTAAGAGGAGAGGATACACAACTCGTGGCACTGCTGGGAATGTGGTTGGAGACGTACTCTTGGAAGGAAGTGCCCTGTGCCAGAGCAGGAACACCCTTTAAGGGACTGTGGGTCATGGGCAACCCACACCACAGCAGGGACACCAGTGTCCTACAGTAAACCCATGCTGGAGTGGAGGAAAACACTAAGAAGCAAGAAGCAGCATGCACATCCCCGGTCTCCTGCATTGCCCCTCATCTCACCAAAGAGATTAGGAGTAGCTGAGTGTTAATGTGTAGCAAAACCAAGGTAAATTGAGATCTGGAAGGGGAGAAGAAAAGTTTTTACTGAATTAGAGACTGGGGAAGAAAGACATTTCTTCACCAAGTGTTTTGTTTAATTACATTTTTTTCCTCAATAGCCAGATCTGTAATCAAAAATTTTGTTAACTGGCAATAAATTAAGTACAGTTTCCCGAAACAAGACTGTTTTGCTTGTGATGTGCTTAAAAAGTACTCTGGCACATTACACACTACGAAATCTGTTGTTAGAGAAAAGGGATCACAGGAAGGAAGTAGAGGGGCATTACTTGCCATAGCTGTGGTTGCTGTTTCAACAGTAAGTTACTGTGCTGAGGCAGCTGCATTAAGATTCTCACTAAAAAGCACATTTAGATGAAGTGTTTAAAGCACCCTATAGAAGCACTCACCAACACTGGGGGAGGGTGGGATGGAGCTAGTAGGCACCACTCCACTAGACAGTTTTGGCCATGGGAAGAGGCTCAGAAATGAATTAAGGTGAACTACTGCCAGTGGAAAATAAAGCTGGTCATACAGGGAGCCAGCACAAAGCCAATGCCACATCTTAAAATTCAAACCTTAGCTTACTTCCTGATAGTCTCCCCATCGAGACATACCTTAAAGATCTTCTGAGAGCTCTCACTGTGCAGTCTTCCTTGTCTGCCTGTTAGCTTCAGGAAAGGGCAGATATGCTTCCAGACTTCTTTTCTCCCAAAAAACCAACTGACATGCATTTTTTTCCTCAGGACCACCTGTGGGGTCAATGACTGTGCCAGCTTCCTTTTTTGTCCCCACATAAAACTGCTCTAAGAAAAGACTTGGGATCTCCAAAATTAACACAGTGCTGGGGTTGAGAGAAAGATATGCAGCATTTTAAACTATAGCCCCCTCTTTGACTGCAGAAAGGACAAGTGATGCAACTCCCAAATGGAAAGGGGAATTCTATTTGTACTCATCTGCTTAATTGGGTTTTATAACTGCTGCAGCAGATTGCAAAAGGGTCATAAAATCTATTTTAAAGAAAGAGTTTAAGTTCTGCAGGCTAACATTACTATTAATCTACTGCCTGCTTCCCCAATTATTCTCCGTTCTTGAACTTATGTTGATAAATCCACTGCCTTCCTGTTTATTAAAGCATGTGGCAGTCTGTTTATTTAATCAGCTCTTGGCCCATTTTCTAATTATGGGAGATAATGTGGGCTCATTTCCTGCCGTGGTGAACCTGGCAGGGCACAGGTTGTTCTCAACTACAGCATTAAAATTCCAGATATTTGTAACGTCTGCTTTTGTTTGGCAACTCCTTCCCTTCTCTCTGCCCAGCTGAAGATGAAAATACAGACATATGGTTTTCTTCTGCATTTCCACATTGCTGACACCCACCCATGTCAAGGACAGGAAGACAGAAGCAGCTGGAGGTTTGTCAGTTTGCTGACACAGTGCTTCCCCAGTGCAGGTGAAACATTTTTCTGGGAGACCTGCATCTCAGCAAAGTTAATCATATGCATCATATGATGATCCTAAGGATAATTTTGTGAAGGGAGGCAATGTTGGAATGCAAGAGGAAAGCACACACCAGCTGGAGACATTCCTAGCTTGCTCTGCTGCTGGACTTGGGCCACCTCCTGCGCCACACTGGCCCCAGTTCTTTGTCTGCTCAGTGAAGGAATATTGTTAACCACCAGCTGCAGCATCAAATAATTTCTGTGCTCTATGTATTCCAGAAGCAAGCAAGTATCTAGCAACAGCCTTAAGACTGCATGTCCTCCTACCTCTGAGATACCCTGCCTTTTATCTTGCTTGTGACACATCCTCAGAATTTATCAGCCACAGCTAACCTAGGATCTAGTCTGGCAGGGAAATTCTCTTTTGCAGGGCCTCCTTCTATACCTTAGGACACATTAGGTGGCATATTAAGTTTTCCTATCTAGAAAGAAACTACAGATACATTGCAAGCTATCAATACATACCATATGCAGTGTCTTTCAGGAGGCCTTGTGAACTACTGGAAACAAGACCATCTTATTTTGTCTGACTTTACAGTCCCTCCCTTCAATCAGCATAAGCATATACAAGCACCACACCTGCAACAGCTCCCATTCCTGAAAAAATTCAGGTAAACATCACTTTGCCACACTTTCAGAAGTGTTTCATACCAACTACTCTATAAACCTCTTTGCAATGTGCCTTTATATGGAATGACTGAAAATCTGACGTGGTCCTGGGCAGCCCTCTTTAGGTGACACTGCTTTGAGCAGGGATTTGGACTACATGATATCCATAGGTGCCAGCCAAATTCAGCTGTTCTGTGATTCTGTGGAAAAAAAAATCCCAGTGGTTCTAGCACTTCATCAATAAGCTCTACAACACAGTATTTTCCAGATTCTGACCCACGGAGAAATGTTGCCTTGATCCCTTTTAAATTGGCTAAATGCCCACAGTGGGGGTTTGTGCATAAACTGTTTTCTGAATTACACCCTACTTTTCCTTCTCTGCTTACATGTTGATTTGATTTGCATTTGCAAATAACAGCAAAAGCGTTTCCATTTCTGAAGCTTTACTTTTGGAAACAATGAATTTAATTTTGATCTATTTCAGTCCAAAAGGAAGTGTCTGGTTTTGTTACGCTGCTAATTATCTGAACCTCTGTCTCACCTCATTCATCTCACTTAGATCCAGAGTGTGCTCTGGATCTAACACACTCAGTACTTTCACAAACACTTAGTTAAAGATTAAAAAAAACAGAAAACAATTCACCTCTATATAGACAACTGTTCCATTCACATGGTACTCCCATGCTGTTACTGACCAGTGAAAAAAGTCAGAATAAAATTATAATAAAATATATAGTACAGGAAGAAGCTGAAGACAAATGAATTTCTATTTTCCCACTTTGTATGGCAGTATTTCCCACCTTGTATTTTTCCATACGAAATACATTGTGCTTTTCTCTTTCTACTGAGCATCTCACAAATACTGCAGCAGATGGGATTGGTCTATGGACAGAGGCAAGAGTTCATCCCTCTAAACTGTTTGTGTTCAACCATGGACCTTTATGCCCAGAAGAAACCCACTGCAACAAGTGTGGGAAATGCTCAGTGAACGTAGGAGGAAAATTTCCTAGAGCTTTTCTCCAGACCACACACTTACCAAAGGCTCTAGTTCTTTGCGGTCTATGAGGTTGAGTTCTGTCACAAAGTAATAAAAATGCTTGTAACAGGTATTGATGTGAGCCTCAGCCCCCATGAGGATGATACGGTCAAAGTGGTGGATGTAGACATGAACAAACACACGAAAAAGCCGGCAGAGTATCTTCTTGCAGATCTGAAGGAAGTTCTTTGGAAAGGGAACACCTGTGAATAGAGAAGGCAGGGTTGTCATAACCATTCTGTCATACTCCCAAGACAACAGCTTTGGAGCAAAGTGTGAGTTTGTAATTGCAAAATAGGTTATGACCTCCTAGACCTGCTTTCCAATCCAGAAGATCACTTAATCCATACATTTATCTGACTGCTAGTTCCTAAAGTAAACAAATACTTAAGCAACTCTAATGGATCAAGACCAAGAGGTACTGGTCCTTTTTCCCTGAGTAATTTAATGGATAAACACTGAGTATTATAATGTTCAGAAACATGATTTTCACTGCAGTTCACACTGTCCCATTAACATCAATGGCTTTAAATCTTGAGGTGGATGTTCCTCATACTGATACATACAGAGCTCATCCCAGAAACAGACACTCTTCTGCTCATCTTATTCAACAGCAGCATTTCATAGCATCAAACTTAATAATGAATTTGAAATAACTGACTGAAGGACCCTTGCTTTCACCTTCCTTCCAGTTACGTGTACCACTATGATTGCTCTTTTAATAGAAAAACTCTTACAGACACACAGAAACAACTCTTCCAGAATATCTTTGAAGTTACACCACTTTGCAGCTGGAGACTCCAAAGCAGCAGAAAAAGCAACATTTGCAACTAAACAGTGAGGCATCCAGTGTGGCACCAATAATCCCTTCAAAACCATCCTTCATTAAAGACTGATCGTGCATGGCATTGTGTAGCACTGAGCTGCCCCATCTCATTCTATGATTGTGCATTGGACATGATGACTGTAGTGCCATGCTCGAAACTCTACTGCTACTTTTCTTTGTTGCACATCCTCCTGATTTTTTAGTTATAATTCACATTTTAGTTAGATTTGAACTACAACTGTAACTTACTGCTTCTTTTTAAAAAAACCCAAAGCCTCACACCAAACCAGTCCCATACTCCCTAAAAGCCCAGCTCATGCTCTTAACAAGAAAAATGTTTATTATTTGCAGAAAGAATATGGAGATATTAATGTGACACTGTTGTAAGCTTTCTAGTTTTCAAATTTTAGCCTCCTATTGAATAATGTTTGGCACTTGTAAGAGTGGTGAATTAATGGACAAATTGCCCAGTTTCACTGTGGAGGACGTGAGGACATAATGGTGAGAATTTCCACACTGAAAACAGATTTTTGATTATAGATTACATAAATTATCAACTGTGGCTGTCACTAGTCTGGGTCCCATCAATAGAAACATATGCCTTACTTTGGACTCCCTGGCCAAGGAGAAACCAGGGTATATCTACTGCAGATGTGAACACAGCTGTGCCTGTTAGCATGCAAGTGGGGAAGCACATCAGCATGCAGAAGTGTTCTGGTCAGTGCATCCCCAAACTGCATCTACATTTTCTATTGCTGTGGCACAGATAAGGTAGGAAAGTGTCTTCAGTTTGTTTGGTCTCTACTGGATTCATCAGAGGCAAATCCTCTTGATATAGTTTCAAGTAGCTTCAGAGATGCAGTTCAGCCCTTCTTACTCCTGACGTACAAACTGGGAACCAGAGAAATAGCTACATCTATCAAAGCACAACTACTTTATCTCCTTAAGAAATGTTTGATTTTGGTTGTCACATCCATTCAATTCAATGCTAAAGCTAATATCAAAGGTTATGGAGGAGGCCTAAATGCTCAGGTCATGAAACAAGACATCACAGAATCACAGAATCAAAGAATACCAGGTTGGAAGGGACCTCAAGGATTATCTGGTCCAGCCTTTCTTGGCAAAAGCACGGCCTAGACGAGATGACCCTGCACCCTGTCCTGCTGAATCTTAACAGTATCCAGTGTTGGGGAATCCACCAATTCCCTGGGGAGATTATATCAGTGAAAAATTGTGGAAAATTTTCCTCTTTTGTCCAATGTGAATCTTCCCGGGAGTAACTTGTACCCATCACCCCTCATCTTCTCCATGTGACTCTTCGTAAAAAGGAAGTCTCCATCTTCTTTGTAACCACCCTTTAAATACTGGATCATGGTGATGAGGTCTCCCCTAAGCCTCTTCTCATGGCTGAACAAACCCAGTTCTCTCAGCCGTTCCTCATACACAGGCTTTCCAGTCCTTTGATCATCTTTGTGGCCCTCCTCTGGACACTCTCCAGCCTGTCCACATCTTTTTTGTATAGCAGGGACAAAAACTGAACACAGTATTCCACGTGTGGCCTGACAAGCGCTCAGAAGAGTGGGATAATGACATCTTTTTCTCTGCTGGTGATGCCGTTGTTGATGCAGCCCAGCATCCTGTTGGCTTTCTTTGCCGCTGCAGCACACTGTTCACTCATGTTGAGCTTGTCATCCACCAGGACGCCCAGGTCCCTTTCCAGAGAGCCACTCCCCAGCCAGGTAGATCCCAGCCTGTGCTGCACTCCAGGATTATGTTTTCCCAGGGGCAAGACTTTACACTGTTGTTAGTTAGCCTTGTTGAACTTGTTAGCCCACTCTTCCAGCTTATCCATGTCTTCCTGCAGGGCGCCTCTCCCGTCCAAAGTGTCCACTTCCCTACTTGATTTGGTATCATCAGCAAACTTCATCAGGGTACACTTGATCCCATCACCCAGATCACTTATGAAGATACTAAACAGGGTTGGGCCCAGTATCAATCCCTGGGGGATCCCACTTGTGAAATAGCTAAACTATGGAAATGACGATACATACAGATGTCTTGGCAATGTTTGAATCAAAACTCCATGCAATTAGCCGAACGCCTGGATTATAACAAATAATTGTTGCTATTTCCAAGGGCAAAATAAATACAATCTATCAAAAAACATAACAGGAACCACACTTAATTGCTTATCAATCAGGTAATCACACCTCAGCCATCAGAGCATGGCTAAATTCAAGCATGATTACAGCAGCAGCCTGCTTTACATTTTTGTAAAAGCTACCCAAACCACAATTTTTAAATATACCCAAGAAAATGTTAAGTTTTTAAAAAGGGGGAAGGAGAATAGCTGGCACTTGTCCCTGCAAGCTGCTTCAATGAACTGAGAGATGAATTCTTGAAGGCACTCAGTTTTCTGATCCAGAACAGGCACGTCTCAAAATGGAGAATAATTAGTTTCATCTTCCATGGGTTGATATATGATTGTTACTGAAGAATGTTACTACAATGAAGAAACTCATGTATTAACTGACTAAAACAAGCTGAATAAACCAAGATGACAAATCCTTTAACTTCTTTACAGCCCATGTTCCCACTTAAGTTACAGGCAGTAAGTGCAAAGGCCATAGAGCACTGTTTCTGCTGCGAGTGAGGACTTTCATCTGACAGCTTTTTAGACGTGTTAGGCAGTCAATTTGAGGACACATAACTAACACAGAGAAAAAAAAAAAAAAGCTGGTGCATAATAAACTTGCAGCATTCTCACTGCTCCTCAAGTGTATTAAGTTTTCAGACAGGCTGTGTAGTCTCATTTGTCGTTGTGGAAGCAAAGCTATCTGTTTTATTTACTCTTAAATAAACAATGAAACACTGCTGCTACCACAGATTTATTACCTGGGTATGGCATAATGGCCCTCTGACTTCTTTCCTCTTCCTGCAAAACTGGTTTATGAACTGACAGTGTCCTCAGTAGTTTAAAAGTGCCTCCTTGTATCACTGAAAGCAATTGGTAGCTGTACAGTGAGATAGAGTGCTTAGCCCTGGAGAGCATGCCAGCCAGTCTGTCCACGGAGTTTACAGAGGAGGCTCAAAGTCTGGTCAGCCTCAACGTACAGATGAACATATGAAAGTGGCTGCAGCACTACTTTAAGCATATACTCTGCTGCTCTTTGTATTCAAAATTAGACAAAAGGATGGGAAATACAATTTCAAAGAAAAAAACCCTAACACAACAGAACAGAGTCTGATCTCAGTTATGGTAGAATGAATCTGAAGAAATGCTATCAAAATTTTAAAAATCAGAGTGAAATGATTCTAGATTTATATTCTGAGGTCAGAATTTGGCCTAATGTTTTGTTCCCACTGCAACTGCTATAGTTATAAATAAATCAACCACAGAACATAATAATTACAAGTGGCTCTTGGGAATGGAGTAGCTTAGATTTAGATCCTTGACTTGTTAAGGAGTCTGTTCTCTGTCCTTCAGCTCAGACACAGTAACCTTTGACTTTTCTCCCTCCAAGCCCTCATTTAACATGGAGTCTAGGTTTAATAATTCCTTTCCTGGTACTCTGTAGTTAAAAAAGAAGAGGAAGAGAAAAAACAACAACTCAAACCCACCAAAAGTCCAAGTATTTATTTAAACTTTGGATTCTTTTCAACAGTGAAAGAAACTTCCAAGAAAGATGACTATCTTACTAGGTGCAGTGTGATACTATAAAGAGACAGAATGTAGAAACACCAAATTAGATTGCTGAGTTATGATTATCAAAAGGCAAAGAAACACAAAGATGACACTGATATTTTGGAGGTAGCTGCTATTTGTTGAAAAAAGTATTTATGGATGAGTGAACTGGAGCCTTGATTCATCTGCAAGCTGAGCCTCAGTGCTTCTGCATGACAAGAAAGCAACAGAAGGATCCTTTTTGTTAACTTCATGTTCAAAATCCCAGAGCTCCCCATTATGCCCCGGGAACGTGCAAGGAGCTTTCAAATGTCCCAGTCACACAGTAGAAGCTCCTTTAATTCAGGGCTATATATGCAATTGGGAAACAATTCAGTGGGTAGTGGATAGGCATGGTATAACCAGTAACAAACACAGCCAGCATGACTGTACCCATCCATACCTCTCTGGAGTGTGTGCTGTACTTGCCGGTGCTGTACTAACAGAAGGCCTCCTGCAGAAAAGCTGCATCTATATATACCCTGGCGACAGATGCACCACAGCAGCACAGGGGAAGAATCATGTCATTTCCCCTTTGCTCCAAACTCCTCATACTCGCTTGACCTTTTTGACTGTGTTGACTTGATAGAAAAGGCCATTCATTTCTAACATGAGTAGGACTCTACAACTTCCAAAACTCAACTTCCCCAATC